CGCATGTTTATCTCTGAGTCATCATATTCTAACAGCGGCTAAGAATTAATATAGCCAAGGAGGATAAAAGTCAGCTGTTTTAACCTAGAAAGAACATATACACAAAAATCAATGGCAGTAGAAGACAAAACGTATACTGAGTATAAACTAGACAACCCCCTCCGATCTGAACTTAAATTGAACATGTTCAGAACCAGTCACGGCGGGAGCCACCCACCTACCAGAATATCTACTATGACCATAAACCAGTGGTTCTTACTGTTCTCTACAGCACAATGAATAAGACTCTTTGGATCTTCCAAAAAGATTTTCCGTCTCTTTGTTCCTAGATCTTCTGATAATATGTCACCTCACGCTTCAGGACTGAGAGTCCAGCATCGGCTGCACCGCTGCTTCTTCAAGCTGGTGCTGCCAGTAGCGGTGAAAGAGGAACTCTTAGGTTTTCTGTTCTGCGGACGGCTTTCTGGTAATCGTTTTGCTCTCTGTCTATTAAGCTCTTGAATCAACTATCAACACACTTAGCTCCTTCATCAGAGACCAGGTGACAAGCAGAAAAACCTTGAAGATTATCAGTGATCCAAGGTCTGCATTTTGGTTCTGCTCACACAAATGATGTAAGTACAGTTGTTTAAAAATTCAAAAAAGAATATAAAATAAAACCTGAAGTCTCCCTCAGTCTCTCCTGTCCTAGTCTCTTTCTTTAAATGGTTAACGGCTTGGGGTATATCCTTCTAAATATTCTTGCGTTTTCACATCAACGATTAGTGTTCACTGGTCTTCTGCAAATTCGATCATACATCCAGTTCTACTTCTTGCCTTTTCAACTTATCAAGAGTCTTGGAGACCGGTTTGTGTCTGCAGAGCTACCCCAGTGGCTGGCAAACCATCCACCTGGTGGGCAAGAGTCTCACGGGAACACAGCCACGTTCACCATTTAGGGCTGCTCCATGGCCGGAGCTGAGCGGCCACAAGAAAGACCTGCGAAGCCTCACACGCTTTCCGCCAATTCCTCTACAGAAAGAATTGGCTGAGTCTTGGTCTATTCTTTTTAGTGCCAGCTCCAAATTCCATCTGATGAACCGATCACATTTTACTGACGGATATTGGGTGCCTTTACAGTCTCCCCCATAACGAATCATGCTTCAGTGGGTAGGTACCCAAGGTTATTATACTTTGAGAACTCTTAAGCATCTTGAGAGAGGTGCCTCTCCGCATGCCAACTGCTAGAAAGGAGGGATATTAAGTAATGTAACAGAGGTGGTAAATACTGAAACAGTGGCAATCATGTTACGATACATAAATGTATCAAATTCATGTTTGCATGCCTTCAATTTCCACAGGGTTACATGTCAAGTATATTCAATGGAAAAAATAGAAGGTGCTGGGCATGCACTGCTGCTCAATAAATATTTGTTGACAGGCGGCTTCTGAAGGAATCATAAAACCAAACGCTGTGCTTTGCAGAGTTCAGGTAGCCGGTCTTTGTTGAAGAATTTCACTTAAGATAAGGAACTCAAGTGCATAATTACTAATAGTTAAATGTAAAGAATAAATTCAGCCTGAAGTCGGAAGTGTTTCTAGAATATTTACTCCGCCCTCCCTTCATTGCAGCAGGTGACAGAGTGGAAGTCGTTTTCCTCCTTTATAAACAAACAGAAACCAGAGCATCCCGCTCCTGATGCTGAAATACCTGAAAAATCTCCATGAAGATCCTTCCAGGGTTATTTTCATTTCTGAAATTTTATTCAGTTGTTTTTCACATCTACGCCTTAGTTGCTCTGTTCTGTTCCTGCATTAGAAATCTTATTTAACTTTTTAATAATTCTCATCATCTTCCCCTGTCCACGCACTTGCTAACTTCTTCGTGGTGGCTCCCTCCCGCACGTGCTATCTGTGTTATCGTAAGCTCGGCTCCGGCTTTATGAGACTCTTTTTCCTTCCCATGGGAAGCTGTTTTCTTGGTGCCCCTATGGTTCGGTTCTGTATTTGTTTCTGCTGAGCTTCCTTGGTGTTTTATCATTCGCCAATCAGGATTTCATAAAACCACTTGTGGAAAGTCTCTTATTTTGAGGTACGGATGGTGTGAATTTGGACCCCAGATTCATCTATAATTCAGAATTCTCACTCAGAGCCCTGGGCAAAGGCACGTTTCCTTGCTGCTTGTGAAGGGCCAGTGGGTGGGGTTTCTCTGGGTCCTTCAGTATGGACATAGTCTTCAAAGCTCCAGGTTTTACTTGGGGTCTCAGTGGCTCCCCACTGACAGGCCACCCACCCTGTCCCCAGTTGAGGCAGAAGCTCTTCATTGCTCTGATTAGGAGTTTCGTCAGGGATTTTCCTTTCTGCAGGTTTGGTGATGGATTTTTTTTTTTTTTTTTTTTAATATAGTGCACGGAACATTTTTGTTTTATAGCAGAAAGAAGCAGGTGTTCAGTCTGCTTCACCGATGAAGTTCTTTGAATATCAATTTCATATTGTCGATCAAGAAACATGAGGTCGTCCTGGCTTTCTCTGAGACCAGCGCTCCTAAAACGGGGAGCAGGTACTTGGCAGGAGGGATACACAGAATGGGTCTTCGGGGCACGCGGTGGGGGGGCGGGGGGGACTTTACAGCTCTCGCTTGTGCCAACTTAAAAGAGAACTGGAGTTAATAAGCACTGATGCAGCGGTGCCTCACTCACCCTCCGTGCTGGGCCTGGATACACTGGAGGGCCCTGGAGGCAAGAGCACTTGAGAGGAGCTGGGGACGAGTAACAGAGGCGCCCGGCGCATCTGCTCACTTCCAGCACCTGCGGTGAGTGGGAACTCACAGGGGCTCAGTGTGGTGGGCTGATACACTCTATTTAGTTCCAACTAAAATAAGATGAAAAAGGGACTTAAAAAATTCCTACACAGAACCCACTGACCTAAGACAGTATTATTAATAGAACGAATACCTAATAGCATACAAGAAAATGGCAAATATGACTTCTCTTATTCCTAGAATGGGCTCTTTAGAAGTGCAGTATAGGACAAGTGTGTGATTTCTGCATTAAACATATACAAACTGGGGGCTCCTGGCTGGCACAGCTGATCAAGCATCTGACTCCTGATATCAGCTCAGGTCATGATCTCATAGTGCATGAGACTGAGCCCTGTGTCAGGCTCTGTGCTGACAGCAGAGTCTGCTTGGGACTTTCTCTCTCAAAACAGGCTCTTGGGACTTTCTCTCAAAATAAACAAGCTAGTGTGTACACAACACACACGCACATATACATACACACACAAACGTATACACACATCCTGTGCGAGTAGGCTAAAAACGTTGTAATGATGCACGAACATGCTAAAAAGTGCTTGGTGACTACTGCCCTGGGTAACCAAGTTATCCCAGTACCAAGGAGCTGACTGGGTCAAGCGGCTAAGAAGAAACTAAGGACGTTCAGCTGACGTCCTGGGGAAGGGCCCTCACAGAACCCGGGCCCCACAATGAACAAGCAGGGCGGGGGACCGTGGGAGCCCCCCGTTTCCTAGAGGTCACATAAAACCACTAATGCTGAGACTCTCAGCTTCCCAGTGAGTCATGCATGGAGGAGGAAGACCTAGGCGTGGGTGGGATCCGCCCACAAGGAACGCATAAAGATTTCGAGAAGAGCTCCTCCCATGAGGTGGTGGTGGTGTTTTAAAAGCAGGACAGTACAACCAATAGGGCTGCAGACATTTGGGATATAATATATGGACACAAGTCCTCTTCCAAGAACATGAATGTCCGGCCAGTCATTCAGAAAGCCACGACAGCTGCGGCACAGATGAGCTGGGCTGTGGGCCCATGGTGGCGAGTGCTGTTGGGCTGTCTGCTGGCCCAACTCCACTCTTTCTCTTCAACAAAGCAAGTAGCCCTGAATCTGCTCAAATGAGCTTTGAAAAATTTCAAATGTCATAATTATCTGGGTAACACATCCCTTGGGGTATTCCACAGAAATGACTGAAAACAAGAAACGTCATGAACATCAGAGTCGGAGAAGTGTTTCTTGGTGTCTAAATTAGTCACTATTTTGTCTGAATCCATTACAGGTGTACCACGGTGCTAATCACTGCCTGCCTTCTGGGGGACTGGGCTGGGCCTGGGGTGACTGCATCTCCAGAATGGTCCCTTCTGGCCACAAGCAGCCTCACTAATTTGCTTTGGTGTACGTGCTGCAAATATTATTACTTTCTATCCATCTAACAACAATACAGTGCCAAAGATCAGGGTCTCTGCCAGATCCAACTTGTAGCCCACCTTTGTGTGGCCCCTACACTACAGAAGGTTTTCACATTTTTAAATGGTTGAGATAAAGGTCAATACTCTATGACACATAAAAATGACATGAAATTCAGTGTCTCTGTCTGTAAATGGAGCTCTGCCGGAACACAGCCATGCTCACTGGTTTCTGCACCGTCCAGGGCTGCTTTTGCACAGCAGCACAGTCCAGTAGTTGTGCGGGGCCCTGCTGCCCACGGAGTCTAAGATACTTGCCAGTGGGCCTGGACAAAAAGTTAGCCACCCTCTGCCATGGATTATCTTATCAAAACTAGAGACCACACTCGGTCAACAGACGTGGCTTTAAGGCGGTTCTGATGAGGTCAGCGACAGGTCAATATGGGACATCTCTGCCTGCGAAAGTACCTTCCCTCGGGAGTCACCATGTTGGTAAATGGTCGACGCACACGCCAAAGTACCAGAATAAAAAATGAGCACATACGGCTTGACAAGGGACTGCTGTGTAGCTTCTGAGCTGGAAGCCACGAGGCTGTTTCGAGGCCGACACGGACTTCTGGGACAACAGAACGGTGTATAAGAAACTGGGACTGCAAAAACGTACAGGCTCTATGTTCTCTAGAGTTGATGACCTGACTGACGTTTAAAGGAAGCCACGACTGGCCGACTTGTCCACACACACGGGGAAGGGATCCAGGGTGCATGGACGGGAAGCCTGGGGCAAGCCCAGAGCTGTGCTCACCGGAAGGGGCGTGTCGCGTACCTGCACAAGTGTAGGCGTCCTTGCTGGTGAACGGCTTCATGCACTGGCTGCAGCTGATGGGGCCCACTACAGGAATGGAACTGAAAGTGTGCCCATTGATAGTCTTCTTGTCCTTGTCCTTCTCCTTCAAATCTTTCTCCTTCTCCTTGATTTTCTCTTTCTCTTTTTCCTTTTCCTGACAAAGAAAAGAGCCAAGAGTCAGTTGAACGCCAGAAGGCCTTCCCTTCACCCGGGCACCCAGATGGCACGTGGTCAATGGTGCGTGGTGGTGAGTGTCTGGGATGCAAGTCAGGAGCGCGGTCCTGGGAGACGGTCTTTGTAAGTTGTGAGCGTTTGAGCTACATCGGACGCGCTCCGGGAAGACCGGGCAGACTAAGCAGTTCTGTCAGCGGCTTGGCTCAGCGACTGTTCAGACTGATGGACACAACGTCCCAGGACCAACACTGGGAAGAGGCTTCTGGAACTGGAGGAGGGGAATGTGGGGCAGCCATAAACCCTCCTCCGCCCAAGCGCAGCCCACGGAGGGCGCAGGCCACGAGCTGAGGGCCGGTGGCAGGCAGGGAGCAGGATGGATGGCAGCCCTTCTTGGGTCAGCCCAGGGCAGCAGGAAGCTTTCTAGCCGCAAGTATTAATGTCACCCACAGACACACGTCCCACTCTTGCACTCTAAAATAATTCCTGCAGGACAGGTACCCTGAAGTGAGCCACCACGACAAACTACTAAGCGTCTCGTACTCGGCATCAAGGCCTCTGCATACATTACTGCACCTGATTCCAGAACCATGAGGTGGGCAGGGTGGGCGTCACACTTCCATTTGTACGTCCTTCGTCCATTTGTCTGAGACGATCAGGATCACAGACACCAGCTACAGCTCTGAGCAGCTACTATGTGTTAAGCATCCCAGTCGGCAACTTACACCCAGTGCAGGAAGTGATTGTCTCCACTGCACGTTTGAGGACACCGTGGCTCGGGGGTGTTTAATACTGGAGTTGAGGCCCCATGCCAACCACGGCCCCCGCTGGAATTCAGACCCAGCTCTGGCTGACCCCGCAGCTCTGCTCTCTTCACTCTGCTCCACTGCCAAGGGCTAGAGCGGTTTGTTGACTTACAGAAGGCCACACAGCAAATGCTTGGCAGTCCAAATCACAACCCGGGCCTTCTGTCTTCCTAACGCAGCACTCATCCACTATACTGAATTGGTGAGTGCTGGCGGGTCTGATTTACGTACAGTCGTTGGTTAATGAAATACAGATCATAAAAATTGAGGAGCTGAATCGCTACACTTCAGACCGACAAACAAGAGAACAAGAAAGGGACAAAAACAAACTACTTTACTTTACAAAACAGGAAACTGTTCTAAGTGAAAATCAGTAATTGCTGAAGTATATACGTAACATTCTAGTAACTATCAATATAGCAAGGGGTTTTTTTTCCAAGTAATTTCTCTTTCTTAACTACATTTAGCTGCAGGCTTCTCCATGAGTAAATGGTACACTGAAAAGCATCTGTCTCCCTGCTTAAGAAAGCTACAGCGCGCTCCAAGAGCTGAGAAACTCATCTGCGGCAACTAACATGCTCTCCGGCCTCACAAGGTTCGTCCGATCTAAATAAATAATAAATAATACCCTCATCCTTCACAATAATCCAAACTAGTTCTTCCAAGGATAAAAACAAAACACTAACAACATCCCCTCTCCCCCCCTTTCTGTGTTTGTTAGAATTCAGTGCTTTAAAGAAGTCAGGCTCTTACCTCCCCCTGTTTTGGTCCTATGAGTCTCACTGTTATGAGGGGTACTTCATGAAACCGACCCCATTTTACCGACATGATTCGACCCCCATGCCAGGAAGCGTACTCTCACAGAAGGAGGGGTGCATGCCGGCGGGGCAGAGCCGAGTGGCTTTGAGCTGCCATTCGAGAAACCGTAAGAGGAAGCCAGGGGCTGGTTGAGAAAGGGAAGGAGGGAGGGCTGAGGCCGCCTGTTTCCTTAAGTCAAGCTTAACTATTTGCATGCTGCCGGTGAGGCCAAGTACCCTGGAAATGAGACAGAGCGGAGCCCCCAGGATGCAGTGTGTGGACAGGGCTTCAGCCGCCAGATGCCACTCTGGGAGGACTAAGGCCAGTCAGCCCTCAGAAGTTTAGGAGCACATCTTCTATCTGTTTAGAAAGACTCCTCATGGTGTCGAAATCGGGATGCTTCCTAAGAACACTTTTCGGTGAAGTCGGCCTCGCCTGTGGTCAGGTGGTGACCAGTTGTTTTTCTGCAGTGTGACTTCTGGATGTTCAACAACTGCTGGGGAAGTAGGCGCTCATGGTATTTCAGGGAAGGATGCAGGAAGTAACCGCACTAGGGAGCTCAGAAAGAAAATGAGTTCTCGTTTTCCAAACCTACTGCTTTAGACAAGCAATTACCAAGACCAGCCCAGAGAGCATTCCGGACGACTGTGACACAAACTGGGACAAAGCCACGGACACGCTGCACGTGGGGAGTCAGAGAAGGAAGCAGAGAGGGAGCTGGAGTTAACCCTGACCGCAGCCCTGGCACATATGCTCCAGCAGGCGCCTCTGCCAGGCTGACAGGGCAGGCTGTCTTACACCAGCATGGCACGCCGGGCGGGGCTGGACAGAGGCGGGGCTGCAGAGCACAGCCCTCGCCCCCAAATGCCTACTTCAAGTCAGATTCAGAATTCGTGTAAAACGTTCCTGCCCCTGTATCTCCTGGCTGTCTGCAAGGAGGGAAGCTTAGAGAAGAAAACCAGCGGGACAGGATGATTTAAAGGGGGTCACTCCGCTCCCTGTGTGAATGGGATCGCGGTGCACACCAGTGTTTAAATACTCTGCAGCCAGTGAACCTGCTTATTGGCAGGAAATGGTACTATGGGAAGATACTAAAGACAAAAGCAGAACCCGCCAGTCTTCCTGTTACACTTCCTGTTTAGAGTCGCCCCCGTTCAAAACAACATCCAATACGCTTATCTAATTACTCATGTTAGATATTGCTAACTTTTTAAGAGGATGAGAACTCAGTTGCTCAAATCCTAAACCTGTGTATCTAGATGTACCTATACACCTATCTAGATAACTCAGTGCTACAGCTCAATGGGAATAATCTGTTACACAGTGGCTGACCTTTGGCTCCTTACAATATTACTTAAGAATTGCAACATACAAATAAACTCTTAAGTGCATATAATAAATTAACATACTTAACAGTGAGCTACAATAGATCTGAGTTAATCACAATAAACTATTTTCATATGAATATATCTATCATACTTAATTGTAAGAAAATTAAAAATTTCCAAATCATTCCTAGAGACTTGGCTAAGAATTTACAGGCAGCAATTTAATAGATCTTCAGCAAATGCTTCAATTTTTCCTTTAAAAGAAGTAGGAATGATCATACTGTACAGTACGTTAATAAAAGTAGGTTCGATCTCTAATAGCAGCTCTTTTAAAAATAATTTAAAAGCTGTAAAACTGTATTACTTTCATCAAAACAACGCTAGTATTAATATCTATGGTAACACTTTCAATTGTTTTAATGTCAGGGAGAAGTAACATCAGTTGGTAGAGAAACAGCAGAGTGCACATCAGCACACTAAGAAAATATTTATTTTTGTCATCGTCGAGAGGAGTAAACACTTCTGTGCAGGAAGGCTCTAGTGTGTCAGTGCAACGGCATTTTCAGTCAGCGCATTGATGTAACTGGACATAAAATGTATTATTTCACTATTTCCCCTCCTTCTTACTGTCTTCAGGTACACTGGCAAAAGTGAGCTATTCCATATGAAAGATGACTCACTCTTAACCTTCTTGACGAATTTGGCCTGTGGGAGACTTTTCTAAACACCTGATAATGTGAAATGGACCGCGATCCTGTGTTAACAGATTTGTAATTTTCTTAGGGCTCCCACTGCTAGAGCCAGCACCAGTCCCCAAAGATCTCGAAGCCAAGTGTGAAAAGAGGAACCAGGCTTATTTTGCAAAACAGTGTTGTCATGTAGGCAAAGGAGATGTTCAGACGCAAAGGTCAAGTGATATGGTCTCTGCCAGACTCTGCTCTGACCATTTCCTGCCTTTCTCTTCACTCCCTACTAGCAGAGGCCAGTTGTTTGAGGTTATCTAAAATTAGAAAGATAGTTTAGTAATGGTTAGATTTTGTTTATGAGTGAGAGCAGGAAATGAAGTGTACTAATTGCTGGAAGTCAAAGAGGTTCTACCCTAATATTATCTAGCTCTCTGTACTTTAGTTTGTAAAATATGGAGGATGCGATGAGACTTTAAGTTTATCTATCCATTTTTGAGAAAGAGAGAGAGAGAGAGACGGAGGGTGGGAGAGAGAGAGAGAGAAAAAGAGGGAGAGTGAGAATATGAACATGAGCAGGAGAGGGGCAGAGAGAGAGGGAGACACAGAATCTGAAGCTGGCTCCAAGTTCTGAGCGTCAGCACAGACCCCGACATGGGGCCTGAACCCATGAACCGTGAGATCATGACGTGAGCCCAAGTCGGATGCTTGACCGACTGAGCCACCCTGGTGCCCCTGGGATGAGACTTTTTTAAAGGTCAGGTTCCAGCTTCTAAATGTAGTCTTACATGGTCTATGTCTGTTTGAGTCCCGTCACTAATGCGATCGGCAGTGTATTCACTGCTCTGCCCTGGAAGTCAATGTCTTTGGGCGGATGGATGGGAAAGGGGACTTGCCACTCATTTACTAGTCTTCCTTTTTAAAAAAAATTTTTTTAATGTTTTTATTTATATTTGACAGAGAGAGAGAGAGAGAGAGAGAGAGAGAGAGAGAGAGAGAGAATGAGCAGGGGAGGGGCAGAGAGAGAGGGAGACACAGAATCTGAAGCAGGCTCCAGGCTCTGAGCTGTCAGCAGAGTCCGACACAGGGCTCAAACCCACGAACTGTGAGATCATGTCCTGAGCCGAAGTCGGACGCTTAACCGACTGAGCCACCCAGGTGCCCCTGAAGACTCCAGTTTAAAAATAGACCAACAAAAACCAAACATTTGAAAGTGTCCAAACAGATCATAAAATTCCTCAAAGACAACGATCTTTAGTTCTTTAGGAGTATTATTAGCACCTAGTGGAACGCTGAGGCCACAGAAGTCATTTGGTAGTACCTAGCTAATTTATACCGATCTTTGCAAAGATTTTGTTTTGTTGATGCCAACCAGCAGTGATACGTACAGCAGTGATACGTACAGCAGATAGGGCTCTCTTCAAGCCTTGTTGCCAATCTGCAGAACCCTGATAAGCATTCTGCCCTCTTTAACTTTAATTTTTTAAATTATGAAGAAAGGCTACTTATATATATATAGGATTATTCTAGAAACAATGTGCTGGACTCCTTGCATCTTTTCCTGCTTTTCCTGACTGCCCTACTTTCTCCCCTTCGGCACCCAGACAAGAAAAATGAAAACAATTTTGGTGGCAGGTTTTGTGGAGAAACCCCTCTTGAGCGATCACTGAACACAGTATTGGCTACAGGAAAGTGATCCTGTTTACAAAACCTGGTACAAGACATTGGCCTTACTTCCACCAGCCCGTGTGACTGAGGGCCCAAGAGGCTTGTTGCATCTGGTGGGGGGAGGCTTGGGGAGAGTGTGAGGGGTACACTTTTACAACAATATTCTTGAGTTCAGCATTGTTTATTCCCTTACTTCTAAGTGGGTATGGGTGTGTCTATGCCACACACACGTATGTACAGTGATTCTCTGGCAAGAGCTCCGTCACTGATTTCCATTAAAAAAAAAAATCTTTTTAAAGCTATTTCTTTACTTCGTGGGAGGCTGGCGGGGGGTGAGTGGAAGGCAGAAGGCCCTCTTCCACTGGCCTGACACTGAACTGGTTTTGTGTAGCACTGGGAATCAGTATAAGAAAGGGAACTCCTGGTCTTCCTTTCTTTTAAAAATACATTGAAAAGAATCAGAAGAGTACCTATCTCTATGTGGGGTTACTACAGGTGGTTTTTTTAAAATCTATTTTTATATTTTGAATATTCCTAGGAGTATAAAAAAATAAACAGACAAAAAAATGTTTAAATATTTTAACATAACCTCATGCACGGAAGAGGATGCCCTGCAACATGCTCGTAGTCAGGACGAGATCTAAGAACCCACTTTTGTCTTAGGATTCATGTAATTTTCTGTAGAAATGTCCTTCTAACCTCTAAACCCATATAAAGATTTTCAATCCCCTGATATTGGCATAAATTCCTCAGGGGCATCTTAAACCTGGTTTCCTGATGAGAGTACACGGTTGGGGGAATGGGATCTGAACCCAAAGAGGTCAAAATTTGAACCTCGGGTCTACTAATATGAGGGGCACATGCTCACAGGCCGGCTTATTACCAGAAAGAGGGGGTGATATCTCCTTATGTGGCTGTGGAAAGGATTACATAAAATAATATATGGAAAGTTTTTAGCATATAGTAAGAACCCAATTAGTGGTATTACCTTTTGTTACTATTTTTTCTTCAAATATTAGGCTATTTCAAGGACTATCTCTGGGCTTATGTCCTTATATCCCCATTATTTATTCATTTTTGGAGGCATGCAGGCTATGACAGGCGCCTATGGATGACCAACGAAGGCCATCGCACAGGGAACACCCTCAAGGGCTACTTACTCTGCTCTTCTTACTGCTGGACATTTTATTCTTGATGTAGCTGAACGTGCGACTGACTTTTGTCCCACTCTTCCCTTCAAAATCTTTCTTGGAGGGGCTCTGAGGCAGGAAACTATACGTCTCTTCTGTTATACTAAATAAAAAAACAGGAAGATTGGTTTTTAAAAGAAAGACTACAGAAATTAACGTTTAAAAACTAAACATATATGAAAAAAATACAATTCTGTGTAACCATGTATGATTTTAGCTACAAGTCACAGGCAACTTATATACACATGTGACAATGGGCAGCAGAGTAACAGATGGGCAGAGTGGTTCCACACAGGAAGACCTGAGGACAGAGCACAGGACTATGCCCACATTCCAGTCCCAAAACCTGGCTAAGTTTTCTCGTAGCAGCCATCAATGTTTTGGTAATAGATTTTTAGTGGCCCAGTGTGAGTCTGTCAATTATTCATTTATTATTTTACATGAAACTTCTTAATCTAAAATAACACTCAATTTATAAGCATCTTTGCAGCAAATAGGTGCTTGAGAAGAAACTCATAAAGACAATGGAATGATGAAGGTGTTAATAAAGGTTGTAAACAAAGGAATTTTTATGACTGAATGCATATTCAAGTTCCTTAAAAGCAGAAATCACACACCATTTTTTTTAGTCTTTTGGCACATGGGACGATCAATACTGGGGCATACAGTTTTGCACAATTTCAGGAGGGAGGAGAGGGTAGAAAGACCCATTTTAAGAGTTTCACAGATCTAGGTGTACTGCTCTACTCATTCAGGAAGGCTACACAGACTCCACGTGTCCATTTACGATGGACATGTTTGGATCTTAGGAAATTCACAATGGTTGATTTCCTCAGAGAATGCTGGACACTTGTACACACAATCCACTCCATAGAAAAGGCATCTACCTATACTGTTTCCCAGATGTTTTATAATCCTTATTTTAAGAACTTTTCCACAGAAAAGTTGTGTTTACCTCAAGGGCCTCTGTGAGAGGACAGAGGCACCACTCAAGAGGGAGAAAATCCTCTTCAGCAGCTAAGGTCTGTTTATGCGTAAAGTACTGTTTACAGTGTAGAGCAGTCTGTTATGTTGTTATGACAAGGGGAAGTGGTGTGAGAGGCACTGCTCCAGAGAAGACAAAGGAGAAACAAGGTATGACAGGATTACAAAGAGAAGCATTCATACTGAGAGTTCTGGATCACCGAGTCAGAACTGATGCCTCTGCGAAAAGGAGCCGGCTTCAAGTGCAAAGCAGTAATCAGAACCCCCATGATGCCGAAAGCAGAGTATTTAGAACCCCGTAAGCATGACAAGAGGAATATAATAGTAAACGATGAGTCAAAATGCAAATCTTCTGCCTGCTATCAAGTAAAGAACCAATGCACTTACTCGGACACAGCTGTGAACCATATCCGTGTAGGCAGAAGAAAATGTCTTTAAAGCTTAAAATGGCTAAGTTCCACACACGCGTGCACACATACACATGCGCATGCAAACAGTGAAACAAAATGTTGTCAGGCTTAGGGGTTCATTCCTAGAAGCAGAGTACGGAAGTTCATAAAGTCAAACACAAGTGTTTCTTTCCTCTCCTGAATAAATGCAAACATTTATTGTTAGGAGAACATAGAGAACAAAAGGAAAACACTACTGAGGACATTATTTACTATAAACCACTTATAGCCATTATATCAATTTTATCACTTAAGGAAGTAAGAATCCAATGATCTGAATTAACTTCTCAGTTTACTTAGTGAAATGTAGTAAGACATTTTGGATTTCCTTCATTTCAATCTTGGGGAAAGGAGTAACAAAATAAACATGCAGTACCTCTCGGTCAGGTTAGCACTGGTGCTGTGGAAAGGCCGTGAATCTGGAAAACAAAAATAGCAGAGAAAAAGTTGGAACCAAAAGATGGTACCTGGATGACAGGTAAGAGGTTTAAAATATTTACAATGACACACACAAAGCAGAGAGAGCGTCTGAAAGCCAGTGCATAGTGCCTTCTCCTCCTATGGGTTTGGAAGAAGGAAAAATTCAACTCGAAACTCAGTAGCAGAACTGGAAATAGGCAGCAGTAGGCGTGAATCCCCCACGACAAAAAATTTCATCCGAGATGCAAGTCGCCACGGAAGCCCCGAATCAACACTTTTGTCCTCACACTCAAACACACAGGGGACATGTCTAACTCCTGTTCTTGTCAATGCTCCGTTTCCAGAGGCCATCTTTCTGAGATGACATGACGGGAAGAACATAAAATCAACAGTTAAATATCATTCATAGTCTGTTTGCTGTTCATTTTGCTTTTGTGGATTTCCATACCAAAAAATCTCGCGAACATCTATCTGATATTTTCCTGAGTATTCCTGGAAATGGATGAGTGAACAGGAAAAGGGCACCAGAGCTGGCTGGGGAGGTCTTGGTCCTGTTACTGATTTGGGGTGAGTGCTCTGTATTTCACTTCCTCATTTGTGAAATGAGGGAGATGAAACAGACGGTGAGATGGATACAATGTGTACGGCAGAGACATCCTTCCTTCCTCCATAAGCATCAGCCCATAAACTGAAGCGGTCATTAGCACTCAGGCTCAGCCACACAGCAGAGCAGTAAGTGGCGCAAGCATTAGAACACTACATTCCTTTATCCACCAACAGGGTAATAAAGCTGGAGCTACGTTGGGACCTAGAGGAGACGGTCTCAGTCACACCACGATAAATGATTTCCAGTTTTTAGATCAGGTGTAGAAATATTTTCTGTGTGTGATTCCAGACAGACAAAGGTTGGTACAGCTTCTGCTACAGTGTGAACAAAACACACACTCACTCCTTCAGATGGGTTTCCAGCATTGGATATTATCCGTAGTAAAGCCTTAATCTGGTAGAGATTTGAAGATGTTCCACTACCAGACTACCAGCATTTGAACTTAAATGTCCAACCTGCTCAGGATTCTGATTAGAAATGCAAAATGGTAGTTATTACTAAGTAAATAGACAACAAGTAGGAATAATAGATAGGAAACTTAACAACTAATTCTAAGTCTTCAAAAGAAAGTTTTCTCTAGTTTTTCCTTTTATTTATTTGGTTTCTTGTATTTCACTCACAATGGACGGTCATCAAGATTAGCAGAGGAAGACCTGGGGTCTGTTCCCTAGTTCCTACATGAGCTAGGTGGGAAACTGTCAGCATTTTAACCTCAGGATGCCTTAATTGACTTAAACAAAAAACCAAGAGTGTGGTTTAAATCTGTGGCTTTAAAACCTTTTCCACCCCAGGAACCTTGAATGACAGAAGCAGCATTAAACTCTCAGACTGTCAGGCTCTGTTGTACACTAACTACAGTAATTACCTGGTAAGTTACTACCCTGGTAATATGAACAGTATGAAAGTAAAATCCATAATGAAGAAAAACACCAACCAGCATGGAATCTGGCCAAGAAGCGGCAACCAGGAGATTTCTGCTGAATAAATTAGAAACTGAGCAAATACGCGATGGAGTACTGGGAGAATCTGGGACCCTTGTAAGAACTCCCTGCCCTTTCACTGCTGAAAAAAAATTTAATTCATTTACTGTGACCTCTTAGAGGTGGTTCTGAGAACAGTAATTAATCTGCCAATGCCTCTGAGATTCCTGAGGGGTCAGTCATCAAGTTTTCAGAGCACCCAGGAGTATGAATTAATCAACGATACTTCTATGGTATAATTACAGACAAAAGCAAAGAAATCTATCACTGAAGTTAGCCTACGAAGTATTACTGCAGGCAAATAGTGAATTTCAACTAGGATTTTCTTAAAGTCTTGAAATAACCTGCAGACCTAGTATACTAATGTTCCAGGGTCGGAACTACTGGATGGACAGGGCCATTGTTTTTTAAAGCGCATCCTATGAACACTAGTGTCAAATGTGTTATGCACAGTCAGATGGTATGCATGTTACCTAGCTATTACCTTTGGAAAATACACAAATTATTTGAACACTGCCTTGGAAATTCACAATGTATACATTAGCATCTGAAACCAGCTTAACTGGACTTCCCTAAATTTATGTGGCTATGAACCAACTCCTTCTTTTTCTTTCTCCCCCCTCCACCTCCGGAATTCTCACTGATATTTCAGAGTACTGAACACATTTTGAGGAATGCTTGGATACTTGGTTCAAAGGTCTCTTCAAGCTTCTATACTTTTATAGCTTCATCTTGCTGGATTAGCTGTATAACCAGTGCTGTTCTATATTAATAACTGTGTCTTAGAGGTAGAAGAAATACCACTGGGATCTTTACTTCATCTGCCACATGTGGACCTATGTCCCCGGGTATTACAAATACTTGGAGATGAAACAGGCTTGAGAATTTCTGAACGCTCAGAAGTTGTAAGCAGATTTTCACAACTTCCCTCCTATTACAACTGGTATGAAGTATGTTATGGTGTGCCTATTTACTAAGCATCTTTTCATTGTGAAAAAAGTACTGAATGTAAGATCACTTCCATTTAAGAGAAATGAACTAAGCTTTGTTACTGTACATGAGGTACTTTCCTTTAAGAACAATGCAAAGATGTCACCCTGAACTTAATTATAAAACTTTAATATCTGAATAAATAGATACTTAAATACTGTTGAAATATAGGGTCAGCAAGTGGTAGGGAATCAGGTTGCTCAATTATACAAATACTGTAATTCTCTGAGACTCTTATGGATTGCGAGTAATTTGCTCTACGAGTGTTCTAAAAGATGAGCAAACGTTTCTAATAAAGTTTAACTTGATAAACGAGCGATGACTTGCAACACGAGTAGAACATCACAGGATCACAACGGAGCCAATGGTTCTTGAAATTCACTTTGATATACAAGTGCTTTTGATTATAAACATGTTTCAGGAATGAATTATACTCACAAACCAAGATTTTATTGTAGTTATATGAAAACAATTCAGTATTTGCCTTTATACGAGAAATTTTTTTTCCATTAAAAATAGCAACCCTGGAATTTTCTAGAAATCTTGCATAACTAAAAAGTGATTTTCATGGTGGAGGCGGTAAGAATTCATTTTCCTTTCCAAGCTTACTAAAATCTTATACAGGTTTTTTTTTTTTTTTTTTAACTTTTTAAATGTTTATTTTTAAGAGAGACAGAGTATGAGTGGGGGAGGGGCAGAGACAGAAGGAGACAATCTGAAACAGGCTCCAGGCTCTGAACTGTCAGCACAGAGGCCGATGTGGGGCTCGAACTCACGAGCTGAGAGATAATGACCTGAGCTGAAGTGAGATGCTTAACTGACTGAGGCACCCAGGCGCCCCAAACCATATAAAGCCTTTATACTAGGCATTATCAAATAGGAATATATTAATCTGAAATCCACACTATAGTAAAACGATTGAAAAATAAAATCTCCAAAGCAGAGAGAGTAGGAGGAAGGAAATACATCTATAACTTTCACTCCCTAATCCACGTGGTGTAATCTCAGAGGAGAGGTGTTTTTTTCTTAATTCTTTTTTTTTTAAAGTAATCTCTATGCTCAGTGTGGGGCTCGAACTCACAATCCTGAGGTCAAGAGTTGCAGGCCATAGCCAGCGAGGTGCCCCAATGGTATTTTTAAAGACCAGTCTGAAAGGTGAAAAGAAAAAAAGTTTAATGTTGGCTTTTAAATATCACAAGTGGATATACAGGTACCAGTCTTATGAGACCAAAAAAGGTACAACACGGAAAAACGAACTTTACACGATCAAATGGAAGGCTCTGGGAAACGAGTGCTCAGTATTACAAAGGTACAGGTGGGACGGGAACACCTCCCCGGGCCCTGGAACTCAGTCAACCAGTGCACGTGGCGTACAGGAGGCAGGAACTTTCATCCAAACTCATGTTCAAAGCAGAGCAGGAAGACCAATGGTTTAGAAACAATGGCATGCAAGACAGTTTCTTAGCTCCAAGCGGATAGCATCTTCTGCGCTGGTCAGACCCTACCCAACGGCCGTGGCCACCACAGCTGCTTACTTACTAGGCAGCGCCTCCTCATCATCACTGGAGTGAGAAGAGCCGAGGGAAAAGAGAGTTTTAGACTTAAGGAGCTGTGGAGAGATGTGGACGGAGAAGGAGACCCGCCTTGCTGGCTGCATCCGCGGCTGGGCTGAGAAGTGGGTCAACACGAGACGTTAGTGCGCGCCGACTGCACCGGGACAAGGTCAGGGGCACCAGAGACCACACTCAACAGAATAATGTCACTAGCCTGTCTCGTTCCAGCAAAGGCTGCCGAGGTGAACACCGTTTTTATTCACATTTTCATCTTTATTTCTCAATGTGTAGAATTCTAACAGAGCTTAAAAAATTCATCCGACAAACACGTACTTGTGAGAGTAAGAAAACAAGGAGTCCACTATCTTTAATAGTCATAACTTAGAGCTGGGTTGTTTTTCTTCAGACCGGAAACATCTGGAGTAGCGGTGTTTCTTAGGATTCTGTGCCCGGCTCTCTTCTCCCTCACTCCCTGCCCTCCCAAAGCACAATCTGAATTGGCTGGGCTGGTGACACACACCTTTCCGCCCTCAGGCTGTAGTTCTCCCCTGAACTCAAGACACATTCATCTCTCTGCTCCCCTCTGGGGCATGTCCCACAGGCAGTGTCAACTGAGGACGCACGTGAGTGAACATCTCTCCCCTCCACACCCGCTCCTGCATTCCTTCATTCGGGAGGCGGTACCTAACATCTAATGAATTGCTCACAACAGAAACCTGGGCCGCATCACTGAATGCCTCCATCTTACCCATTCAGTTATTCCGTGTGTTCTAGAATTCTCTGAACATCAACTTCTCCCCTACTGCCACCATGCGCTTTCACCTGGTCTGGCAACAGCCTTCTCCTGATCCGCCACCTTTGCTCCCCAA